TTTTTGTCTCCCTATAGCAATTAAACATTCAGCTTTTCCACCCACCGAAGTTTCAGCCTCTGAAGTGCCCGCTATCCTGAAGAAATTCGTCTCGAAAGAAGCTCTAAGTGACGTCATTCCGTCCGACTCGAAATTGGAGGTAAGGAGAAAAACCAGCAACAGAATCGGTATCCTTCACAAGGTCAGCAAAACTATTTTTTCAAGCGATTATCAAAATGATTTGGTTCAAGAGCAGCCATAACGTACCCAGAGTGGAAGTTAAAAGGCTTGTCGGAAGCCATTTGGACAAAATCTCTCGGACAGATTGACGTCACGAAAACGCAGCCTGGGTGCTGAGTACTGTTCAAAATGGCGGGAACGATGTTCGAAGTTTGGGCTTCTTTGGAGATGAATTTCATAAGGAAAACCTGCTGAAACTTCGGTGGGTGGCTAAACTTAGTGCAAGGTTTTTATTAGAGTTGACAAAAAATATACGTCTTCTGGAGTGACCTTCTCAGTTTAAAAACTCGATACCGTTATTTTGCGGCACAATGGCCGCCGAGCTAAAAAATGCTTGATGCATTTATTTTGTGACAACAAGCCATGGTCATGTTGCTCAATGTCTGCTCAGAGCACTGACTGCTCAGTTGATGTTTTCTTTTGATTCAACAAAACAGAACCGAAGGCGAGAAGACTATTGACAACAAAACGCCAATTTAACATCCGATGAAAGGAAGAAACAACACAGCACGACAGAACGATTGAAAAATGGAAAATAATTACCTTGAAAACTGCGACCAAGTGAGGCCAAAAAGCTGAGCAAAGACGTACAGTTACAACGCAGTATGGCAAGAACTGGCAACGATTACGTCCTAAACTGTAGCAATGGCTCCAATCAGTTGAAATTACTAGTACCAGTCTACCTGTCAGACTATCCCTGACTATTGTGTGACATGATACCTACTAAAAATAAAACCAAAAAGCAAACAAAAGAATAAACTCGAAAATATACATTAATATAGAATTTTAGAATGTTCAAACTTTAATTAATATAACATTATAATTAAGGCGTTTCTCAGGACAACATATACTCTTTTATTTCCTTTCATTGTTTGCCAATATTTCAATTTTAATTTTTAAGAGAATTTTATAATACCAGGAGCCATAATCGGGGACTTTTTAAGTGTCCCCAATTAGCCCACATGGGCTAAATACATTGACATTTAAATAAAGTTCTTACTTACTTAGGGCAAAAATTTAAAGCTCGGAATCGATTTGGGTTCTTGAAAAAATTACCTAAAATCTTCTAGCCCGCCAAAAACATTAGTTGCAAACTTGAATTGTTTATTCTTCAAAGCGTTTCTTCTAATTGAAGGTGCATGACTGTTATGTCATGTTTTGATCAATCAACCCCCGCCAACACGTAAACTCAGCATGAATTCAAAACTTAAGCAAAAGAACAAAGTTAAATTTTAGCTTGGAGGCAATTTTAAAGCTCCCATTCGATTTGCGTTCATGAAAATCTTCA